ATTTCATTTGATAAACACGTTTAGATTGAATGGTAATTTATAATCAGTCACAAGAACGTCGAATCTGAATCACTTGAAAAAAACACGGGGGTGCTTAACTTTTTCCAGGTGTATATAATGATTTGATACTTTTTAGATCTCAGATCTTTTACAAAAGCAGTTTCAAATTCCTTAATAAATTTATTTGTAAAATTATATAGCTTTAATTATAAAAGTTCAAACAGGCTCACTAAACTAACCTGTAATAGAATAACAATCAATATATAACAACAGAATATAAAATCTCAAAAGAACTGGTTACAATCACTGTAAAAGAAAAAAGTATGTGGTCAATGTTTCTGTAAAACCATCTTCATCTAGGGCTCCACCTACACACTAAATCTCAATAATGGTCACTTTGTTAGCCAAAACATTGATCACATACATATTTTTCTCTGATGACAATTTTAACCTTTTTTGTACTTACTAACCCCTACTGAGCTTTTGAAACAGTTGGTAAAAACTTGTATTATTTTACAAAATTTGTAAGCTCCGCTTAGAGCACTTCTGTAGTGTTGCAGTTTACTAGCTGTTGTATTGTATCAAATGATACATATACATCAAACACAAAAGCTTCCAACAGCATAAATTTTGTCCAAATGTTTTAGCTTTCACTTTTTCATGACCAAAGTAATTCAATTTCACTTTGTATGTCCTTTCAACGACAAAAATCTAGTGCAGGAAAGCATAGTGCATAACCTTGGTTTTTAAAAATAATTATTCAAAATATATTTAACCTGCTTCCCGAAAAAAAAAAACTGATTCAATTTATCTTTCAAATGAAAATTTTAATATATAACTATATGAATTAACAGGAAAATTGCACAAAGAATTCAGAGTGGTCCAAAAGTAAAAACATTCTCAGAAATGTATGGTTTTTCTGCCAGGTAGGTTATTTCAAGAATATTTATTTGATTGTGGCTAATCTATTGCTCCCCTTTCCTATACTGATTATAAAAACGTTACATTGGTGATTCATCAAAGTACTATTGTATTTCGTAGGCCATTCTGCATAACACAGTATTAGAAAAACAATTTTAATTTTCTAAAATCATGAATATGTAAATACACTTTTTGAAATATTCATCAATGTTTGCTTACCCGAACCCAGTACATCACTCCAATGAATTCATTTTCTTCGTATCTATCTCTGTTGGTTTCACCTAGCAACAAAAACAATAAGCATAGAAAACTTTGCACTGTCATTTATTTGTAATCCACAAACCAAATAGCACACAAGGGAGTGACAAACTTTACATGTTTTACATGTTATGACTGCATACATTTATACACATACTTAAATATCTAAAAACTCATATGATATTACTAAAACTAATATATTGTCTGCAAATGGATTCCAATAGCTCAAACTTACTACATCAAGCATTAAGAAATGTCTCCCTGTTTAATTACACAATAAATAACAATGTAATTTTACTTCACACAGTAACAACAAAATATAAAATGACATAAACATGAATGTAACATAAACCAAGAACAAAGTCATAATTATATTTAAACAGACTTCAAATTATAAAAACTAGTATATAAATGAGAGGTGAGATATAAGTCATTGAGTTTCATTGGAATAACAAAACACTTTTGTTAAATAGTCAAATGTTTAAATGTGTTTGTTAGCATCAAAAGATACTTTTGTTACAGTTAAGTATTTAGATGTGTTGTTTGTAAGAAACTTAATGTAAGATTCATTAGAAGAAGGTATGTGAAAATGTCACTGTTAGAAACAGAAGTGGTTGAGATGGAAAACTGTAAAACTCCAAAAAAGTGATTTTAAGTATGTCACTGTATGTTCTTCACAAGATGGACAATTGTCAAGTGGAGATTTTGCCCATGACCCTGCTGGGAATATAAATGTGAATATTACCTTCAAATCAGTAAGATACATATCAGCATTCCAAGGTCTTAATGGCATATTACTACTCATAATGTGTATTTGTGAAGTAAAATAAACAAAAATGAAGAAATGGACATCAAACCACAACAGTGGATAAAAAAAACTGGAGTGCTCTTTACAGATGAGTCAAAGTTTAAATTTTTTGGCAACCATCAACAACAGTTTGATGGCAAAGAGGAGAATGTTACTGTAATAAACATAAAACACGAATTTGAAGAAAGATTTGTTGGGCAGACAAATAATCCCAATTAGCATACAGCAAATACGGTGAAACAATATCTTGGTGGTAAAGAGGGCGATGGAACACTCACAACCATGGCTTGTCCAACACAAAGTCCAAGAATTATTTTTTTGGAGGGTGGGTGTCACAGCACTTAAGTCAACTACAATACCCCCTATGTCAGAGATGATAATTTGGGGTAGAATAAAAGAACATCCACAAGGAAGCCCGATGCTTGTGGAAGCAGTGGAAGGCCCATCCAGGCCAGTAGACGTGAAGATTGGAAGGTCACTTGTGGCAGGTCATCAAGTAATACCCATAACAGTGGCTAATTTCTCTAAATCTGAACAGACACTTAAGGAAGAGGCATTGTTGGGTGTGTGCCAGGAGGTAGAGCTAGTCAATGTTAAGACAAGAAATACAACCATAAAGAAAGAACATCCTCTCCCAGAACATTAAACTGACCTCTATAAGAAGAGCATAGCCCATTTGTCATCATCACAGGCTCTTCAGGTTAGAAAACTCTTGGCAAGTTATGCAGACGTCTTTTCAAAAGGAGATCATGACCTCATCTGCATAGACCTTGTGGAGAACAGAATAAACACAGGCAGTCACCATACAATAAAGATCCCTCCGAGGAGAATAGCTCTGGCAAAGCGACAAGAGATGGA